CGGTTCCTTGGATTTGGATCGCCCAAGAGCTTCCATTACGAGATGGTAGTACCAAGATTACAGGTAATATACCCAACTGATCGTTGAATAATTGTTACTGGAACACAGGCCTATTTTTCTAAAAACGTCTCCGGTGGGATTCAAACTCTAGACCTGCCACTTGGGGGGGTGACAACTTAACCACTACTCTAAGTCACCACACCAAAGTAAAAAATTAGATTAAAGTAAAAGTATATAAATTTAAAAATTATAAATTCTGATGAAATATTTTATAGAATAGATGGGCAATATAAAAAATAAGACTAAAGTAAAAGTATATAAATTTAGAAATTATAAATTCTGGTAAAATATTTTATAGAATAGGTGGACAATATAAAAATAAAATTAAAGTAAAAGTAAAAGTATATAAATTTAGAAATTATAAATTCTGGTGGAATATTTTATAGAATAGGTGGACAATATAAAAATAAGCTTTGTCAATGATTAGTAATCATTAATTTTTTAATGGCGAAGTTGCAGAGTTTGTGGAATTTGCCCACCTATTCTATAGAATATCCAAATGGTGAAATGTGGCAAAATTCATAAATTTACTAAATTTAATTAAAAATAATTGTATACTAATTCATAAAGGAGAAATTTGTTTATAACAGATTTTAATTTGAAAGCTAATAGAAAGAGAATATTATTAATGTGATCGTGGATTAGTGAAAAAAAAATTTAGTTTTCATATCTCAGCATATGATGTTAGTTATTACTGATATACGAAGATCAATTTTGATATGAACTTTGTTAGCAGAATTTATTTTCGTATATGAATTCTTTATTGTATATTTATGACTAGATTTGTTATGAAATAAAAAATCTAATTAGTAACAGTTATTTGAGTTTCTAATTTCTTATTCAATAAGCGAACAAATTTTTTGAGCGCATCTTTGCTAAGGTCATATAAAATTAATTTTTTGTTTCTCATAACATTAAATTTAAAAAGTGACCCGACCGGCTGGCTTTTTTTTAAAAAATTTTATATATAAAAATTTTATAAAATTTTTAAAAAAAAATTTTGTAACTCCACCCGGCTATTAAAACATAAAAAATTTTTTTTCAAAGTTTACAAAACTTGACCCGGCTGGGTTATGAGAAACAATTAGTTAAATTTGTATGGCCTAAGCGTGCAAGTCCAAATAGTGCTAGGTTAATTCACGTTCTGAGATTAGCGAGATTTTTACGTACGTACGTACGTACAATATCCGTATGACTTAAAATTGCTTTATAAAGCAAGTTAACATTTTCAAATTAAGCAATCTTAACATAGCGCTAATGAGAGAAATCTTTGGTATTCTTTGTGTATTAGTTACCAAACTTGTAATAAACTTTGAACACAGTATGATCGCTTACATTTTGGTACAACCAAGAAAAAACCACGGTTTAGGGTTGTTAAATTTATAATTTATACAGTATTTCAAGTTATTAAAGTCATTTACTATATATATATATATATTTCTGTATTTAAATTATATAATATACAATATAATAACATTATTATTTCTTTCACAGTATCGGTAATGTATTTAAACTACATACGTATAAGATTTTGGTATCAAATTTAGTTTAATTGTTGGATATTGTAACGATATATTGTAGAGTAATGCTAGTTTCAATCCGGATAAATCTGTCATCCATTTATCCATATCTGAATTTATCCGGATATCCGTTTGCTATTAATATCGGATAAATTATTCGGATATCAATAGTTAGATCGGATACTTGGATAACGGATTACGGATATATGGATAAACGGTTAATGGATTGGAACTCTATAGAGCTTCACTTTGTTCCTCCCAACTAAGGTTATTGTAAGTTATGAAAATTACATTTTTTTCATTTTATGAAATTTTATTTATTTAGTAATCTTATATAATTTTCTCATACGTACGTAATTTATCGTCTAATGAATGGTTCACAGTGTAACTTCACCATATGTACATAAGTATATCTATATATGTAAAATTATAAGTTTACATTCTCTATGAAAATTTAATATTATTAATTATAGAATTATAAATTATAAAATAAAGTTATAAACGTAGAAAAATAGAAACCTAGCTTTGATATCATCAGCCTAGCATGTGATTGTATTGTCATTAGTTCATCAGTCACAAGGCATGCTTTGACATGAGTTTGTACGTCATGATAACAATAAACATGATTTTTGTATTATGACTAATTTAAAATAACCCTGATTAAAATAATGTATAAACATCAACACTACCACTATTATAATGCTAAGTTGCATCATAATAAAATAGTGCGTCATGTAATCAAACTTTTAATTTTTAATTTTAAAAAAATGAATTTAGTTGTGTGTAATTCTATCAATACAGTATAATCATTATCGGACATTTAAGATACTCCGTAAACTTCCGTTCTGCTTTAGAAATTAGAGATGCATTTAGCGATAACTTCTGGCTCCTTTCATTCTTAATAAAGTAAAAATTTTGTTAATGATGTGTGAACATCAATCAGATTCATCTTTTAAAAATTTTCAATACCTGCTTCTCACGATAAATTTAGAAATTTTAGAATTTTTTAGTGAGGATTTTTTTTCCACGTTCCATGTTCCACGTCTATCAATGCAATACAAACCCTAGTTTCCAAATGTGTGATTCCAAATGTGTACGTAATCTTTCTTTTTTTCTTGAAATTCTTCAAATTACCTAAATTGGTTGACATAAAATTAACGCTAGTCGAAAAAAGATTTAATTTGATATCATCGTGAGAACATATAGTGTAGTTGGATTATGTCAGTTAAGTGATACAGACTACACGTGTACAATTAGATATAATTATAAATATATACTGTATTAGTATATATCATTTAAAGTTCCCCTAATTAAAAATTATAATAATAAACTTAGATCATATATGTAGGGGTAATTTTTTAAATTAAAAAAAAACTGGTTTAAAACGAGTATTACACAGTATATATTATTGTAAAAATTTTAAATTTTTTTAAAAAACCTGATTTAAAATGCACAATATAAACCATGCATCTACACATGCACAACACATGCACGACACATGCACGTCTGGTCCAGACCAAAATCTAAAAAAGGAGTGCATTTACATTTACGTAAAAGAGAGGGTTCACTGTACTGCACTGCACTGCAAAATAAGCCTATCAAATTATTAATCATCAGATCATCATGACGGCCTATCAAATCATTGTGACGCAATATAATATATACTGTGACACAAGAGAATACTCCGGGTTTTCCGAGTCCAATAAAAATTTGAAATTCTAAAAAAAACGTATCGGTTTATCATTTTTCATTGTAATTATGGCATCGACGCGGCGTAACGGTAAAGAATAACCGATACGTACTGTACTATACTGTACTATACTGTACTATACTGTACTATACTGTAAGTACGTACTGTACATCTTTTTTTTGATTACCGTTTACCGTTACTCTACTCAAATGTTGATTGATAATCGCATCAGAAAAAAAAAAAATACTGTATGATAATTTCGATAATTTGTAACTATATATTTGTTAAAAAAAAAAAAGAAGAAATCCTAGAAATTAGATTTTTTTATTTAATTTTGCTTGCATATATGTAAGTAATAAACTTCGCCCTTGCTTAATTAAACTTTGGAAAAAGTTCTTTTTGTTGGTTGTTTGTTGCTTTTACATAATTATATTTCGTTTAAATGTTAAAAATTTTGAAAAAAAAAGCGTACACAAAATTTCAAAAAAAAAAAATTGATCGTATGAAATTTTTTTGGTGAAAAAAAAAGAACGAAAATATGAAAAAAGAATATATATATATATATATATATGTGTGAATAAAAAATAAAATGATTAGTGCAAAGAAATTTTTTTTTTTAGGTTTTTTTTTTTTTATCGTGTTCTTCGAAATGAAATGCAAACCGAACTTAAAAACTAAATACCAAATACCAAAAAATAAAAAGAAAAAAAAAGAAATAAAGAAAAGAAAATACGATGTTTAAAAAAATGCGATGTTTGTAAAAGAAATGCAACGTGTATATGTAAAAAAGAATGAAAATGCAATTTTTTTAAAAAAAAAAAAAAAAAATGGAAAATGCAACAATAAATACAATGCTATTTAAAACAAGTCTATGATGATAATATAACAAAATTGCAAGTACTGCCAACTTTACGTTAAATTGGAGACTTTGCGTCTATAAACGTATGTATAATCTATGATAGGTTACAAAAAAAGCGACGGAAAAATACAAGGGGGGGACGAAATGGAATTTAAGAATAAATACAAAAAAAAAAAAGATTTTTTTTCAATTTGTTGTTTTTTTGTTTTTTTTTTACACATATTAAAATGTGTGAAGAATGTTTGAGGTGTCCAAAATATGCGCGTAAAAATTATTTAATTAAAAATGTTCAATTAAAATGTTCGAGAAAATATGCAACTAAATTATTACGTAAAAATTATTACGTATAAAATTATTACGTATTAAAGAAGCGACCAGCGATTCACGCTGTTCAGTTGAACTTGATTAAAGAATTAGTAAAGGGCATTATTGTGGTAAGCATGATTAGGATGACTTGTAGGAATGATAGGATTAAATTCAAAGGAATTTAAAAGTTGTGCATCAGGTTGAAGGAAGCTTCCACATTCAATGCCGTCATAATAAGGAGCATCAACATGCATAGGTTGATCGAATTCCATAGGTGGAAGAAGTTCTTGAAAGAATCCACTTTCAAAAGGCATATCACAAATTCTTTGCCATTCATTTTGTTGATCAAGATTATTAGATTCAACTTTTAAACAAGCTTCAAAACGTAAAGGAGAAGGTGATCTATTGTTATCTTGATGAGAATTAAACATGGGAGGAGAGTGAGCTGAATCATCAATGAATGATGGAGGAGTTGAAGGTGCTGAATCACTTGTCCAAGAACAAATAGAATCGGAAGAAGAAGATCGATAATGACCACCCCAAAAAAGAGGTGCAACCCGGGATTCGCGATTCTTTAATAAATCACCATTAGTCATCATAGAAGAAGAGGAAGATCTTTTAATAACTTTACTATTATTTACTTGTTTAATTCCATTAAGACCATTATTATTAGAAGATTTGGATTGCTTCTTTTTAGGTGCGAATTTGTAATTAGGATATTTAGCCATATGTTCAAGTTTCAACTGTTGAGCACGAGCACGCCAGAATTGTTTAATTTCTTCTGGTTCACTTTTCCACATTTCAGCAGCAATAACAGAAACATGTTTATTATTCATTCCAGGATTTTTTTTAAGAACTTCATGTTGCATATGTTCACGATAGGCCATGAAACAATTTTTTGGACGAGGAATATGACCATTATTTTTACGTTTGCGCCACGAACTATTTGGAGGTGATTTAACAGATGTAGTAGAAGGAGAAGTAAATTTTGAA